AAATTCAGTATTTCGTTATTGGTGAATAGCAATGGTGTAAGATCATGCTTCTCAAATTGTATGCAATTTGAGGGCACTCGGGATGTTTGCTTTAAAAACGGAAATTTCTAAGCCTTTGTCCACAGGAATTCTGATTCTTTAAGTCTTACTCCCAATTTTGTTCGGTTTTGATTTAAATCAAAATAATACATGTGCATAGTTAAAAATTAGATAATACCATATTAAAGTGTTCTGCTTGCAATAATAGCAGTCTAGATTCAGAACCAGCCTCCCCGCTGATAACAACTAGAAAAACTAGACAAAATGGAAAAGAAAAATAATCTGAAGTCCTCAGTGAAGAATTACGGAGCTAGGTGATGGAAAAAGAAGGACGCTCAGAGAGGTGACCTGGCAGTTAAGGCCACACATTCCCTAGAGGCATTTGCAGATCCAGAAGAGGCAGCTAAAATATGTCAAGCTTAGCAGAACTTTTGAGACAGTCATGTGGCCAGGGGATGAAGTTGAAGTTTAGATCCCACCAAAAAACCCTTGTGATGAGACCCGGAGCGGGTACATGTGGAAGTACGTCCATCAGAGAGCAGAGCACTGACACCCGGGTCCAAACAGCTTTATTACACAGTAGGGGTAAAGGGGGGTATTTCCCCAAGCACAGCTGTGTACTAGAGGCAAACCAAAACACGTTTCTGGATGATAATAGCATCATTTTAGACTTTATCTTTACAGTTCCCCACATATAATGTCCAGCATGCAATTACAACCAACCAGGTGCAGCTTATCTGAATACACACAACAACTCAGAGAAGCAACAATAGAGACAGATCCACAGGAGATCCAGGATATCTGTACTAAATAAAGACTTTAAGATAATTCAGCTGATATGTTAAAGGAAATTAAAGACAAGATTTAAAATGTCAGCAGACAAGTGAAATAGTCTTAGCTTAGCTGTTGAATGGCCAGATAAATATTAAAGAAATTGAAACTATAATTAATTTTTTTCCACAAATAAAGCTCCATTTTCATCATGGCTTCTACCCACAGATTGAAGGAAGACGTGAGACCAATGTACCCAGACATTTCCAGAGAAGAGAAAAAGACTAGACATCTGCCAAATCATTTTCTGAGACTAGCACTACCTTTATCTCAAAATTAGACAAAATTGGTAGAGAAAAAATTACAGGCTAAGCTCATCCTTGAAAATAGATACAAAAAATAAAAATAGATGGTAACTAAACATTAGCACACTGGACCTAGTGATAAAAAAAAATGGATCATACATTCCAACCAAATTGGGTTTGCTCTAGGAATGCTCCATACTGTGACCCTAATTGCCAGGTCACCTCACTGAGCTTCCTCCTTCTTCCATCATCTAGCTCCAAAATTCTTTGCTGAGGACTTCAGACTACTTTTCTTTTTCCTTTCTTTCTTTTCTTTTTTGGAAACAGAGTTGCTAGGATGTTGCCAGGCTGTAGTGCAGTGGCACAATCTTGGCTCACTGCAACCTCTGCCTCCCAGGTTCAAGCGATTCTCCTGCCTCAGCTTCCTGAGTTACTGGGATTACAGGCGCACGCCCCCACGCTCAGCTAATTTTTGTACTTTTAGTAGAGACAGGGTTGCACCATGTTGGCCAGAATGGTCTCGATCTCTTGACCTCATGATCTGCCCACCTCAGCCTCCCAAAGTGCTGAGATTACAGGTGTGAGCCACTGCACCCAGCTTCCAGACTATTTTTCTTTCATATTTTGTCTAGTTTTTCTAGTCGTTATCAGGGGGAGGGTGTTTCTGAATCTTGACTGCTATCATTGTAAGCAGAAAACCTTCATACAGTATTATCTGATTTTTAACTATGCACATGTATCATTTTGATTTATATTAAAACCAAACTAGTGTTCTAGTGAACATTCCAAAATCAATTAATAGAATAAAGGAGGAAAACCATACACTTATTTCAACAAACATAGAAAAAAAGCTACAAGTTTACCACCATTTTATGATAAACAACAACACACAAAATCTCTTAGCAAGTGTTATGGTTTGGCTGTGTCTACACCCAAACCTCATCTTGATTGTAGTTCCCATAACCTCCACGTGTCATGGGAGAAACCCAGTGGGAGGTAATGAGGGTGATAATTTTATAAGCTGCGTTCCCCTTTTGCTCAGCTCTCATTCTCTCTCCTGCCACCCTGTGAAGTGCCTTCTGCCATGACTGTAAGTTTCCTGAGGCCTCTCCAGCCACGTGGAACTGTGAGTCAATTAAACTTCTTTTCATTTATAAATTACCAGTCTTGGGTATTTCTAATACAGCAAGCTAACAACAGAAGGAAACTTCCTTAATCTGATAAATTCTATCTACATAAAACTGCAGCAAAAATTATACCTACTAGTAAAATGCTGATTTTTTCCCCCTTTAGCTTGGAAAGAAATAAAAATGCTACTATTCTCACCTCCATTCAACATTGTTCAAGGTATTCCAGTCAGTGTAACAAGAAAGAAAATGAAATCAAAGGTAAAATGGTTTATAACTGCCTTTATTTGCAGATGCTGTGCAAATGTGTATAGAAAATGCAAAGTAATCTATGGATAAAATGTTTAAATTAAACAGTAGTTTAGTAAGGTGGCTGGACACAATGTCAATATTTTAAAAATCAATTGCATAGATTGTCAAAAAATAAAATTAAAAAGGTCATTTGTAATAGAATAAAATAACATGAAATACCTAAAATTATGTCTAATGCAGAATGCTTAGGGTTATTACCTGGAAAACTATAAAATATTGAAAGAAATGAAGACAAATGAATGGAACTACATCATGTTCATGGATTATAAATCTAAATATTATTAAAATGTTAGTTAAAGTGTTAGGCCGCATAACTGAACTATAGATCCAATGCAATACCAAACAAAATCTCAGAAGCTTTTTGTTTTCCTTTTTGGAAATTGAAAATTTAGAATTTGGAAGAAGTCAGATTAGAAGAGAAGAAAGAGATTCCAGATTGGAGATAGGCATGAACAGAACTTTTGTGCTACTAGCGATGTGCATTACTTGACCTAGGAGACGGTTACGCTGCTGTAATCATTTTCACTCCATGCTCATAACTGTCTGAACTGCCTCATGCCTCCCACGCCTGGACCCCCGGCCCTGGAAGCTACATCCAGTTAGAATGCTCAAGCTAGTTTCTTTTATTAAAAATGTGCCTATGGCATTTTTTATGTATCAAAGTATCCATAACTATGCTATGCTTAAACCTCCGTTTCCTTTTGCACAAGCTTCACTTTTATTTTAATGTGTTTTATAAAGACTTTATAAATGAAAAGAATTATTTTTAGCAATGACATGTATTGGTGCAAGTTGTTTGTGATTCAATCCATTTCGTAACGTCATATTGAAATTCACTTCTCCCTTTGAATCTGGAAAATGCCTTTGGTTGCTCCTTTGGCGGTTATTTCCTCTGCCCTCATTTGCCATCTTTAATTTTGCACCCCTGTTGGTTGGGTGTTGGACCTCCTGATTTGATGCTCCTATTATCTCCTTTTTTTTTTTTTTTTTTTTTTTTTTTTTTTGAGACGGAGTTTCGCTCTTGTTACTCAGGCTGGAGTGCAATGGCGCGATCTCGGCTCACCACAACCTCTGCCTCCTGGGTTCAGGCAATTCTCCTGCCTCAGCCTCCTGAGTAGCTGGGACTACAGGTACGTGCCACTGTGCCCAGCTAATTTTTTGTATTTTTAGTGGAGACGGGGTTTCACCATGTTGACCAGGATGGTCTCGATCTCTTGACCTCGTGATCCACCCGCCTCGTCCTCCCAAAGTGCTGGGATTACAGGCGTGAGTGCTCCTATTATCTCTTATTTTTATTGCTCATAGTTTTTATTCCTTCACCTTTTTTCTTTTATGCTCTGAAAGGTTTTCTAGAACTCTGCTTCCCAACTATTCCATTAAAATATTTATTTCGGCAGTCACATTTTTCATTTCCAAAACTAGTGTTTTATATGCCCTAGTCATCTCTTCGATCGTTTCCTACTTTGACCTACAGATTCAATAGCTCTTTAAATCTCACTGTGCCTACTAATCAGATTTTTTTCTTAAAAACAAATCTCTGAACTTGAATGATGCTTCTGTTCAGTTTACCTTGGGCTTTCTCTTTCAAACTGCTATTTTTCCTAAACTGTCAGGATACCTTTGAGTGTTTGTTGGTATCTGAGAATGGAAAATGGGAGGGCTAATGAGGAATTTTCTGGGTTTTTCCTGTTGAACTGGCTGGCATCTTTTTAAGGTGAGCAGATGAGGAGCTAATCACCATGCTGATGGTCTGCCCAACGCCAGAATGAGGACTGCATTATTTTCAGATGCTATCACCTATGGGAGCTGCCTTAGTTCACTTTAGGTATTGCCTTAGAATATTTTTTCTGCTCTAACAGAATACCACAGAGGCTTATTTGGCTCATGAATCTGGAAGCAGAGAAGTTCAAGATGGACAGTCCACATCTGATGAAATTCTTCTCACTGCATCTTAACAGGGCTGGAGGCATCTCATGGCAAGGAGGCACTCAGAGGAGACAGAGAGAGGAAACGGGGCTGAACTCATTCTTTTATTGGGAGCCCCCTTCCGAGATAACTACTCCCAGAGTAACCACTTTACCCCATTCATGAGGGTGAAGACCTCATAGGTGAATCATCTCTTAATATTCATGCACTGGGGATTAAGCTTTCAACACATGAACTTTGAGGGCCACATTCAAACCACAGCAGGTATCCTGTGGTTTTCTCTTTTTCTTTTCTTTTTTTTTTTCTTCAGAAAAATGCCCTCGTGTTTTGACTGGGAATAAATGCCTGTCAGCCTGAGCTTTGTGCGAGAGTGGACGTGTCTGCTATTATATTGATAGTCCTTTCACTCTCCCTGGTTTTCAGCTCTGCTCCTCGTTTCCATTCTTGAGTGCTTTGACTCTGTGTCCAGGAGATACATGGTTCTGCTGCTTTCAAATTCCTGCAGCTTTCTCAAGGCTGCTCTTTCTTCTGCTCTGCTTGAAGCCACTAATGCTTCTCTATTTACCACCTGTCTTCCGAAAATTCATTAAAACTTCTTGTATGTTGGTGAGTATCCTCCCATTCTCTTGGCTGCTACAGGTTTATGTCTTTACTGATTTTTAATCATCTTAGGACTCAAGAAAAACAGAGTCTAACGTGGGGACTTTGTCATCTTAGCTGCGTCCCCTAATGTTCTTAAGAGGAATCCCTTACATTTCATACATGTGTGATTTAAGCCCAGGTTTGTTTGTTTTTAAATAAATGTTATTGTGTATATTTGAGTTTTACAATTTGATGATATGGGATACATTTAGACAGTGAAATGGTAACTTACAGTGAGGCAAATTAATATGTTTATCATCTCACAGCATTACTTATATGTGTGTACATCTGGGACAAGAGCAGCTAAAATCTACTTATTTAACAAAAGTCCCAAACACAATACAATTTTATTAACCATAGTCTTCAGGCTATACATTAGATATCTAAAGTTGTTCACCCTACAAATCTGCTACTTTGGATTCTTTAACATATATATATCCCCATTTCAAGTCAAACTTTGAGAAATAAGCAGGACTTGTATAGAAACAGAGGATTGCAGAAGACAGACCAAATAGAGGACATGTTTGAGTTGTGATGTGGAGGCAAGTGTGACCATGCTAGGTTTGAAAGACTAATGAGGACAGCAGCCTAGCACGAGCCCAAAGTTCCAGGAGAGTCACAGGAAATAGGGCTGGCAAAGGAATCTGGATCTAGAGCCTCTTGTTCTAGATGGGGAAATTTGGCCAATAGATTTTGAGCAAAGCAAAAGAGCAATGAAATCAAGATTTTAGAAAGATTAATTTGGCAGGAAGTGAAAAATGCTTTGCGAATAGATAGACTGGAGGCAGAGGGCCAGCTAGGAAACATTTGTGACCATCCATTTGTGAAATGAGGGATGGTGGCAGCAGAAATAGAAAAGCAGGAAGCCATGTAGGCAAATCAGAAATGACTGTGTATGGTACTCAGTGACTGATTGGACATGAAAGACAAGATGAGGTTATGTTTTCAGGACTAGATAAGTATAAAGAATGATTGACATTGATGCACTTAGAAAATTCACAGGCACCTATCTGACTTCCACTTCCTCTCTCCTCAAGATTAGTTTACCCATAGTAGAAATCTTGTTTTCCAGTCTCCATGTTTATGGGTTGTAGTAGCAGAGACGCCCTGTGGTAGTGATGACGGAGGTGGTAATAATGGAGGAGGTGGTAAATATGGTGGTAGTGATGGCAAAGGTGGGGTTAATAGTGGTGATGATGCTCTAGGTGGTGGTAGTAGTGGTAGTAACGGTGAGAGTGGTGATAATTATGAGGGATGTGAGGTGAAATAGCGGAGGTTATTGTGGCGGTGATGGTACTGATTGAGGGAACTGATGTTGGTGGTGGTGGTGGTGGTGATAATGATGGTCATTATAAAGGGGGCTTGTGATGGTAATGATGAAGGTGGTGGTGAAGAGGGAAGTGGTGATGGCGATGATGGGGATGGGGATGATCTTGGTAGTAGTGATAACGGTGATGGGAGCAGAGACAGTGGATGCTGGTAGTGATGATGATGGAAGGGGTGGTGGTAATGGTGTTGGTGGGGGATGTGCTGGTGGCAATGGTAGAGGTATGGATAATTTCAGACATAGAGGAAGTGGTATTAGTGGTGGTAATGGTGCTGGTGATTACAATAGTGACCGATGATTGTGGTGGGCAGGGTATTAGTGAGAGTGACAGTGGTGATGTTGATAATGGTGGCTCCCCCATCCCCCAGTGTCCATGCTCTCCTATTTTCTTAATTGCAAAGCCCTGGTTTGTTTTGGTATGAAAATGTGCCCCCTTAAGACTCTATACACCAGGCTTCCTGAAGCAAAATATGCCCATGCAAAAGCTGATACGATGGAGGTGATGGTGATAGGAGTAGTGGTTTCTGTGAGAGCGATTGTGCTGTGAGTGACTGTAGTGATGGAGGGAGTCACACAGGTGGGAGTAGTAATGGTGCTGGCGATGGTGACGGTCCTTGTGATTGTGATTGGGCGTGATGCTGGTGGGCACATCTTAGCTATGGAACCATAACTTTAAGTCTTGATCTTACTCTTCATACATGTAAGGACTTTAGGAGAAAAAGGAATAGATGTGGCTCTCCACAGAACTATGAGACCCTCCTGCTCTATTCTCTAGCCCAGGTGATTAGATGAGGAGTGGACATCTGGACATCTGACTTAAGAAGATTTTCAACCTCTAGGATTGAGCTAACGGCTTAGAAATCATATTGTGAGATGTGAACATTTGAACTTAAGAGACTTGTGGAGTCAGAGCATGAGTCATACCATGGCAATGAATGCTGCGTAGAGTTGGGGTTAAGAAATAGGTCACAAGCTGTGAGTAACCAGAAAAGGCCGATGTGTGCACAAGCAGGTGGGCAGAGAGAAGCAGAATGAGTAAGGGGCAGCCTTCACCCCGCCTGACAACGTCCAGGCCCCTTGTGCTCCCAGAGACCCATCCATGTCTGTTCTGGTCTTGTAAGCCCATGAGCTTGCCACTTGTATCTACTCCATAAACTTCCCTTTTATTCAAATTACTTAGTATGTACGGGTTGCTGTTTCTCACAGTGAAATATGAGGGACTAAGATGTTCATGAAGTAAATTGCTTATTTTCCACGGTTTTTGCAGACTTCTTCAAAGGTCACTAGACCCTAGATACCACTATTAGACACATTTGTGCTTGGGTCCTTCAGACCTCTCCCAAACAGATCACATACCTCAGAATTTTATCTAAGACCAAGTCCATTTCTCACAGGGTCCAAGTTTTATTTAACATAATCTAGTACTTAATAATTCCCCATTCGTATTTCCAAATCAGAGTTCCCTCCCCCCACGGGACATCACATCCTGCTTCGCTGTCTGTGGGAATGTCTCTAGATCGTGTCTCCCACACCCTGCTGCTATGATCTTGTTTCTCTGCTTTGCATCCTCGTGACTTACACCTTGATCCTTCTCTGCCTGCCTCCATCAGAAGCCTAACCGGAACTCTCCATCTGACTTTGTTTTGGCTCACTCATAAGATCCTGGCTCTGGTGTCTCTCTCTTGCAGACAGTGAAGCACAGACGATGGATGAGCTGGACTTGGGCCTGATGCCCTAGGCTTCTGCTGGGTTGAGAGAGACGGGTGGAAGGCTAGAGAGAACCCTACTCCACCGTATACCATCCACGTGCCAGGTGTTCTGCGACTTGGGAGAGCAGCATTCTTGCCTTCATTTTATAGTTGATAAACCTGATGCTCAGAGAGCTAAAAGTGACGTGCCTAAGTTTATATAGTGAATGAGTGCCAGATCTGGGGTACGAACCCAAGTGGATTTGACTTCAAAACTCATCTTTCCACTTTAAACTGTGCTGACTTGCCAAGGGATGAAATATAACCAACACTGGTCGAACACTATGGCAGTGACTTTAAGTGGCTCCCAGTGTCCATGCTCTCCTTTTTTCTTAATTGCAAAGCCCTGGCTTGTTTTGGTATGGAAATGTGCCCCGCTAAAACACTCTATACCCCAGGCTTCCTGAGGCAAAGGATGCCCATGCAAAGCTGATAGGATGAGATGGAAGGGTTAATGGGGGGTGGGGGGATTCCAGAAAAGCTGCTAAGAACTTAGAGTTGCTCTAGTTGAGAAGTTCTCTCCTGTGCCCTTTCTTCTTGCTGCTCAGAATATGGGTGGAGAGCTCTAATAACCACCCTGGATATGAGGATATCATGAAGAGAGCACCCATAGTCTAGAATAGTGGGGACAGGGTCCCTGAGGTCTTCCGTGCTGCCATATCAACTCTGAGCTCCCGCCTCTGCACTGTTGTATGTGGAAGAGCTCTAAATGCCCATTTTATTTAAGCTACTTCTGCGTGCAGTAGGACTCAAGCACCACCTCTATGTCAGACAGCCTGCTAGCACTTTGATGTTTGCTTCCCCATCTGGATGAGAACCCTAAGTTTCAGAAAGTTCATGTAATTAATAGCACACAGCTGGTTAAGTGCCATGATTTGACTTCAGAGCATATTGCTCTACTATAATACAAATCCAAATTCCTGAACATGACATATGAATACCTGTGACCTAACTGTTGCTTATCTCACATCTTCCTTTTTGTTACAGGCTTTTGAAAAGTCTGCTCCCTCTGTCTAGAATTCGCTGCCTTTACGTTTCCTCTGGGAAACTCCCAGTCTTCCCTCACGACCCAGTTGAAGTGCTACCTCCTGTTCGCAGTCTTTGCTAAACAGCTATCGTAGGACACATCTTCCTGCTGTGCTCCTGTGGCCCCATGTCGAACCTTATTAAGACGTTGCATTGCATGAGACACATACGTTATATTGCACAGTACGGTAATTGTTTACATGCCTGTCTCCCCTCTAAACATCAACTTCTTCTTCTCCCACTTCCCCTTCCCCTTCCCCCTGGGCTCACTGCAACCTCCGCCTTCCAGGTTCAAGCGATTCTCCCACCTCAGCCTCCCAAGTAGCTGGGATTACAGGCACCCAGTACCGCACCCACCTAATTTTTATATATTTTTAGTAGAGACGGAGTTTCACCAGGCTGGACTCAAACTCCTGACCTCTGGTGATCCACCGGCCTTCGCCTCCCAAAGTGCTGGGATTAAAGGTGTGAGCCACTGTGCCCGGCCAGCTTATACTCTTTTAAACTTTTAGACTCAGGGGATACATATGCTTTTTCATTAAATGGGTATAACATGCATAATGGTGGGCACTGGCTTTCATGTACATACCACCCAAATATTGGACATTGTACCCAATGAGTAATAAAATTTCAGCTTCTTTAGAGGCAAAATCTTTCCATCTCTGTTCTCAGCATGAGTTCACTGCTTGATACCAAAAAACGTAAATTTATTCATTGAATGACTAACTGCCTGAGTGAATACAATTAGGCAATTATGTTAAATGATAACTTTTATTAATAGTAAACTTCAGGGGCTCGCTCTAGCACGTAAGGTTTATCTCCTCACGTTTCTAAAGCCACCTGGGAAGCAAAGAGGAGCATGT